TTTTATCGATACAATATTTCAAGTAAATCTACTTAAATAAGAATATCACATTTTTCAAGAAATATTTCTCATTTACCTTGACAGAACGTGCCATTACCAAAGAAACCAGTCATGCAAGAACAATTAGAAGATCCAGGAAAATTGGTACAGACAGCATGGGAATGACAAGGTGTTTGGTTGCACTCATTTTCATCTGAAAATTAAAAAGAGGAATGTTAATTTAGTTTTGTCATACACGTGATAAACAGGTATACTAATTCATATGAAGGTTATGTTTTACCTAAACATTGAAAACCATTTCCAGTAAAACCTTCCAAACAAGAACATTTAAAGGATCCAATTTGATTGATACATGTCGCGTTGCCATCACAGGGAAATTTAGCACATTCATTTACGTCTATAGGCAATTTAAAAATGTATGAAACAGTTATTCAGATAATACATATACACTCAAATACTGATCCTTGGTGAAATGAGGATATCAACTATGTGCTGTTCGATAGAAAGATGCCAGGGAGACTAAAATTGGGGATATGCTCTATAGTTACTCTAATGTGTAGTTCAAAAGCATGAGCTAGGAGAGAAGAATAACATAAAGCTGAAATAGGTGTGTTGTTGCGATATTAGAGAATGTAAAAAAGGTTCAGATTTCGACTTCCACTACCACTACCTCAACCATTAACCAATCAGATGCGTTTAATCTATCCGATTAGCCAATCAAATGCGTATTACGCCGGTAGTGGAAGTCAAATTTGAACCTCTCTAACAGAAGAGAGAAGGAAGCTCCAATTAGGTTACGATGGTGACAACCAGTAGAAGGCAGAGGATGAGATGAAGAGATAATGTGAAATTAATAGGAAGCAGTAAACGGAAGAGAAGAGGATGGCAAAGATAGAGTTTAGTTGGCTTCAACGTACCAAAGCGGCGATTAAACTAGGGATTCAAGCGGAGATTCCGGAGAAGACGAGAAACCAGACATAGTGCTACAGTGCAGTGGCCTAGAGAATGTGCACCACAAGCGCGAAGACACAGTCACTATTTTTTAATAAAAACAAAGATTATACATGATTCCCAACAAACTAACAGACTCACAGTCTAACAAACTCACGCAGCGAATATAAAGCGATGACTAACTTCGTTTGCACCACAATTCTTCTCAATTCAGAACTATATACGAATCCAGTTAAGTCCCCATTTTTACTTGAATTGCGTTAAGTACGCTTGTGTTTATAATCAGTACATTAATCTTACCTTGGCATTCAAAGATTTTATTAAAAAAAAAGAATAACTAGTCGCAGTATTATCTTACCTTGACAACGAAATCCATCTCCTGAAAATCCAATGAAACATGAACACTCGAAAGATCCAGGTACATTTGTGCAGCTTGCATTTGAATGACATGGTCGTATCTCACATTCATTGCTATCTAGAATTGGCAAAACAAATATAAACTCGATTAATGTGCTTAATAAGTTATGTTTCCAAAATCAGTTGGCTAATACCTAAACAATTGAAACCATTCCCATCAAAACCTTCCAAGCAAGTACATTTAAAAGATCCAACTTGATTGACACATGTTGCGTTATCGTCACATGGATATTGATCACATTCGTTCATGTCTATGGAGATATATTTATGAATTTGTCAAACATTCGCTCAGATATACCAGAAAAATTAATTAACAACATTCTCATCATATACAGTATATAAATTTCAGCAGTTATCGACGACTAGTATATCTATATATTATGTATATAAAAAAATAGTTTTTCAGAAAATAATTTCATATTTTACCTTGACAAAACGTGCCATTACCAAAGAAACCATTCAAACAAGAGCAATTAAATGATCCAGGAAAATTTGTGCAGATAGCATCAGAATGACAAGGTGTTTGATCGCACTCATCTTCATCTAAAAATAAGAAGAATGGTAACTTAATTCTAATACAGAAGCAATTCACCTAACAAATTTAATTAATTTAAGCGTAAATTGTCTTGCCTAAACACTGGGAACCATTTCCAGTAAATCCTTGCAAACAAGAACATTTAAAAGATCCAATTTAATTCATACATTTCGCGTTGTCATCACATGGAAATTGATCACATTCATCCACGTCTATATATGACATTGATAAACAGATAAAACGGTTACTTAGATAAAAAAAAACCATAGGATAATTATCGCCACTACAATTTCTGAAGCTCAAGTATCCTATATTATCCAGTAGTCATTACACGCATGATCACGTGAGTGAGCCAATCGTATTATATATGGCCTATATTAGTCAGTATTTAACAATTATTCGCCGAAGGCGAGGTGATTATCGAGGATAAATCCGATAATCACCGAGACTGAGGGGATTTTACACAAGTCTTTTGTGTTTTTTGGGACTACTGAATTTATTTTAATGTCGCTTAGTTCTTTATCAGTAACTTCCACAGAACCGCTAACCGCCATTTTTCAAATTTCGGTTTTGTTATATTCACCTGTAGGTGAATATAACAGCTTATTACGTCAAATTTGACCAATCAACTTGTAGGATTTGTTATATTGAGTTGTGCAAAAATACTAAATAACCATATCTATAGGTACAGAACTTAATTAAATTGCCATATTAAGAAACTGCAATTGATCTAGAACCGATCTAAACATTGTGTTATACACTAAATACTTATTCCGGAACTACGTGACCACCAACCTAAACATTGAACACCAATTCCATTAAATACGTCCAAGCAAGAACATTTAAAAGATCCAATTTGCTTAATACAACTTACGTTGATATAACATAGAGATTTAACACATTCATATATGTTCATATATAAAACACACAGAAACCATTGGAATTTTGATACAAAGATCTTAATTGTAGTTAGACACTTTATCGCCAACATAGTTTGAAAACTTTGATTACTTAGCTGCATTTTTATTTTAAGTAATATTTGCATTCGATCTACCAGCGACTCGCCTTGCAAATCATGCTTAGCATAAGAACCGATTAAGATTTCCACCCGGGAAAGAAGTTTATTGGGAAAGAAGTTTATTGGGACAGATGAGTTTGATAGGCGTGCGTTTTCCAACTTCTTCAGTTCTTCTCCAACAATTTTAATTTAAAAAATATGATACAGGTTGCAGTGAATTTGAAACACGTGCACCGGCATTTAGGAAAACATGCAAATAGTGAAATTAATAACGAGTGATTTTAGGCTTCTCACCTTTACAATTTCTTCCATTTCCAAAAAAACCAGACTTACATGAACAATTATAGTAATCTTCAGTATCAAAACATGTCGCATTAATGTGACAATCATTCACGTTGGTCAAACATTCATTTACATCTAGTAAAGTAAGATAAGGTAAATAAACTGAAGTCAAGTGAATTGAAGTGAAATTAACTGAAGTTGAAATGATGTGAAATGAAGTAAATGAAGGGAACTGAAATTAAGTAAAGTGAAGTAAAGTGAAGGACAGGAAAGTGAAGGACAGGAAAGTGAAGGACAGGAAAGTGAAGGACAGGAAAGTGAAAGACAGGAAAGTGAAGGACAGGAAAGAAAGTGAAGGGCAGGAAAGTGAAGGACAAGAAAGTGAAGGACAAGAAAGTGAAGGATAGGGAAGTGAAGGACAGGGAAGTGAAGGACAGGAAAGTGAAGGACGGGAAAGTGAAGGACAGGAAAGTGAAGGATAAGGAAGTAAAGGATAAGGAAGTAAAGGACAGGAAAGTGAAGGACAGGAAAGTGAAGGACAGGAAAGTGAAGGATAGGAAAGTGAAGGACAGGAAAGTGAAGGACAGGAAAGTGAAGGACAGGAAAGTGAAGGACAGGAAAGTGAAGGATAGGAAAGTGAAGGATAGGAAAGTGAAGGACAGGAAAGTGAAGGACAGGAAAGTGAAGGACAGAAAAGTGAAGGACAGGAAAGGAAATGGAAGTTAAGGGGAGTAAAGGGGAATGAAGTGAAGTAGAAGAAGTAAATTGACGTGAAGTAAGGGGCCGTGAAGTAGAGAGAAAGGGAAGTAAAGTGAAATGAAGAGAAATTAAGTGAAGGGAGGTGAAACGAAGTGAACTGAAGGGAATAGAAGTGAAACAAAGGGAGGTGAAGTATAAGGTTATGTATAAAGTGTAAAGTGTAAGGTGTAAAGCAGAGGGTGTAAAGTGTAAGGTGTAAGGTGTAAGGTGTAAAGTGTAAAGTGTAAAGTGTAAAGTGTAAAGTGTAAAGTGTAAAGTGTAAAGCGTAAAGCGTAAAGTATAAGGTGTAAGGTGTAAAGTGTAAGGTACACAAGGTATGAGGTATAAGGTGTAAGGTATAAGGTATAAAGTATAAGGTGTAAAGTGTAAAGTGCAAAGTAATTTGAATGATGAAAGACTAACATTATTAAAACAAGTAATACCTAAAACAAATAACTGTTTGGGAATAATTGTCTTGCGTCCCCCATTTTCAGGGATGTCAATGGAAAATGTTCTTGATGCAATTGCATCGTTGATTTTGTCAAGTTTGCCGTAAATTTCAGCCATGCTAGATCCTTGAATGGTCGTGGTAATGGAATTCTAGAAAAATATTCACAAGCATTGTCTGTGAACCACGATACAAATAATGCAATATGCTATGAATGGTTATTGTACTGAAAATAAGGGACAGTTCCAAATGCAGAGGCTTATTACAATTTACAAACACTACAGGTATTCTCCTAATATTCCAGTCCTTCCAGTGTAAATAATGTTGATGTGGTCTCGATTTCACTTTCACAGTAATGCATCCACGTACTGGAATTTAGATAGAACTGACGCACCTTAAAGTTTGTATCTATCACTCTTCTCCGTGACACCCTGCCAAGCATGCACGTTTTATGCACTCAGGTCATTCGGCATGCCAACTACATATGCTTTCTCAACGAAATCGCACCTCTATTACTTATATATTAGTATTACCTGCTTGAAATTTATACCATGAATATTATTTTCTAACTTTTCTCCAAGAGTGTTGTACATCGTTTGCTGTAAATTTTTCTTTATTTCTATTTTTATAACGTCAGTTAAAACGGGAATTAACGTATTCAGATCAAGATTAAACTTTAGACCAATCCGTTGGCTGTAAAAGGGAAAGAAGTCATTTATAAACATACAGGTTTTTAAGGTTTTTAAACCTTAAAAGTTTTTAAACAACTTAAAAGTTGTTTCGAAAAATCAGTTGTCTCGAGTGTGATTCGAAGTTCATCGGAACTTCGGGTTTGTGGAACGTAGAACGTCACACTCTAAAAACGCTCTGGTTAAAATTTTCCTGGATAAACCAGAAATAACCCTATTAGTATTAACCTGTTTATAAATCAGGAGACAAGACAGGAAATCTATATTTAAAGAACGCGATTTAGTATAATAACACTTGAAGCAACACGAGGAATGACACCGAGATGTATTTAGAATTATACGCACTGAGACGCAACAACTGATAAACTCTCCCATGAAATTGTGGACAAGTTTTTGTATCACTCAGTAGATTCGTTTAATAAAGGACCACTAAGCCTAAAACGATAGGGATACTCGTGAAATTTATTTTAGCATTGGAAACACGTAGTATAATTTGTAGTTGAAAATATAACACCGTAGGATTTCTTACGTTTTCAAGCAATGAAAAGAATTGCATCTAAAAAACATTTGTAGCTTATGGACACAAGTTGGAAACTATGTACATTCTGGATACCTGTGATTAAATGGACAAAAACTCTCGCATGAATAAAAGATATTTTCACACCAGCTACAATGAGATATCTCAGAACATTCTTCTTCGCTTGACCTAATAATGACGTAAAAAATAGCAAATGTACCTATCGATCAGAAAGCGGCTGTACGAAGGCCTGATAGCTTTATCTACCCGATTCTAAAACCATAAAATCGGTCATCGATTTGACATTTGAAATTTAGTACAGTATAGACTGAATCCATCGATCGTCCAATCGGACCCAGCATGCAGGATCAGTGAAGGAGGGAGGAATAGATCACAGAAGACATAAAATAAATTATCATTTAACTTACGCAGTATTACAAACTTTCTCACACTCTGGAACTTTTGTTGAATTCCAGGTCTTATGATCAGATAATGCTGCGTTCACTAGACTTGCGTTGGTCGTTGGAGCTACAAAAATTACAAATTGTTCAAAATGTAACCAAAAATAACTAAATAAGGCAAAAGATGCAAATACCGTAAACCTCCAATTAGAAGTCCCTCCCCCCGAATATAAGCCCCCCGTCTATAAGCCCATCACATTACTAACGTTCAGACCATTCCAAATATAAGCCAACCCCCTGGGCAATATAAGCCCACTATACAGGTATACCGACACTAAAAAATTCCACATAGCGGTAACCGTTAACAAAAACATTCAAGCAGTGTGTATTTAAATGTTATAAAGTATTAATTTTACAAAACACTTGAATGTTCGTCCTGATGGTGTTTTGATTACTGTAAATTGAGACAATAGCT